GTGTGTGTGTGTGTGTGTGTGTGTGGTGATCTTACATTAGAATTTTATAGACTGAGTCTTAAAACTATGATGGTTGGCTTTCTATTTTTCACTTGATCCTTTTAAATATGTTTTAAGCTTTCTTATTATTCAATCAGAATAAAGATATAAGTAAAGATATACTTATAAAACCTAAAATATAAAACATAAATATATGTTTATTGAAGGGCAATTGGAAAATATAATTAATGAAAAACAAAAAATATACAAAAGTGACAATATAGACATATAACCGAAATATTTTAATAAATAGGCTTCCAGGAATTTGCTATTCCTATGTATGTATATTTCTGTCAAATGATAGGATATTGCTGAGGACACACCAGACTTAAAATGTCTTGCCTTTTAACCTCATTCACATTGGTAGAATGAAATGATAGATGTTTAAAATCAATGCAAAAAAAAAAAAATCAATGCAAGTAAGATCAGCTTGGCTTTGAAAAGTGTGTGATGAATCTAGAGAGCACTCCCTTCAAATATTTTTTATATTCTCTCACTTTAGGAAAGTAAGATAATTCAACTAAAATAGAGTACCTTTAAATGTTTTAGGATTTAGGACTCCTCAACTTCTTGGCTTATGCATGTTCCTATATATTTACAATTATCTCAGATCTCCAGGGTCATTAACACATTGGCTGTGACTTTGATGCCTTGGCTATGGAAAATGTACTTCACCCATTAGCAACATCCCACATTCTCAAATGGCAACCTCTGAATTTTGGTTTTAGCTGATTGTGGCAATCTGGGTTTCATTATTTAAGAGAGATAAGATGACAGATTGGGCTGGTTCCCACTATCTCAGAATAGCAGCCTTAAATATTTGGAAAATGTGAACACAAAAATATTTAGGGATTTGAAGAGTGTATGCTATTTGCTGTCTGAAAGAGAAAAAGCAGAAGATTATCACCCAAACAGTTTTGATATTGGGTTTTATCTTCCTGAAACAAGCAGACTATGGTTGAAAGAGTCTGTTGCCATTTACTGTGAGACTGTGGACTTACTCATATCTCTAGCATCTCTCATTTGTTTTTAGCTTCATGTTTAGTTAGTAACAGTGGAATCTGGGTGCCAACATGTTTTTAGCAAATACTGTCCAGATCTGCCAGCGATTTCAGCTGCTCGTGGCCATGTAGAAATACAAAGCAGGAAATGTAATGAAGAGGAACAGAGCTTTCAATGAGGGAATGTTCAGAAAGTTTTCACAGGTTAGAGTTCAGCTTCAACTGTGAGTTTCAATTTACTGCACCTTTTCTTTTCTCTCTTATAGTATTCACGCCTGAAGAAATGATCCTGGAAAAGAAGTCATTTTGGATTATCTTTTTCATCACATGGAGGGATATTTTTAATAGCCAATGGTTCATATCTTGGGATCTTGACTTCTCAAAAGAATTCTATTTTCAACCACTAAACACGGCTCTGCAGTTAAGAGACCGCCTTCCCTCAGCAGTGAATGGAGGCCATGCACATCAGGCCTTAGCTATGGCAAAGATCAGTTCCCAGGAAGCCTGTATTCTTGCCATCCCTCATATGAACATTCTGCATTTAAATTAGACCACCCAAATGGAATAGAAATGTGACCAGCAGTCATCAGTGTAGTTGAAAATATAAAGCCAAAATTGAATGGCCCATGAGATATTTGCTGTTTATATTATCTGCTTCCTCACAGTGTTACACAAGCATAAATAAAAGTACCAAAGAAAGGAACAGGAGGCCAGACTGAACAGCTGGAAAATGTATGATGAATCTACAGTCCACTCACCTTCTGATTTCATTCCAGTTCTTTGCACCAAACGGTTTCAGTTCTATAGCAATTCATAAGCTTATGGGAGAGTCATTATCTTGCTCTGCAATGCTAACTCATTTGGGGGTGAAAGAGGCAGTTAGATTGCAGGAGGTTACAAGAGTTGAACAAAGGAAAGCCAATTCAATATTATTTTTATCTGACTGGGCATTTTAATGTTACTGAGAACAAAAGAGTTCTCCTCTTCCCTTTTCTTAACTGTGTCCATCAAGGAAGACTTAGAAATGTTCTTATAATTGTGGCTTACATTTCATAATTTCTTGATTCCCTGGAGTATATAGAAAATGAAAAGATAATGTTTTACCTTGAAAGACTGAAATGGAAAAACCTTCTGTTCATGGAATCTCTCTGGAATGTAGTGATTTGTGTGATTGCAATCACAGAGCCAGCTAAAATAGCATATGAACTCTCCAAACTCTTCCTTCTGTCAAAAAGAACATTTCATTGAAACTACCTTTATAGCCTGGGATGACTGTCTGCTTTCCAAAAAGAGTTCTAAATGGCTATTAAGCAACCAGTAACTCTGCCTAAATGTAGAGCAATTAGAACCATTTTCAAAGTTTTGAGAGATTGTTCTAACCTCGTCCCTTCCTTTGCCAAGACTTAGATGGAATCAAGAAAATAAGCAGCCTGGAGATGAAGACTGAAGACGTAAGTGAGTCAGCACTATGTTTGAAAGTGAAGTGTGTCTGCACCTTTGGAGCAATTTTTGAATTTTTAATTATTATGATTAACTCTGGAGAATGGGATGCCATAATCACAGAACACCTCCTCCATTAAAAAAACAAAAAAACAAAAAAACAAACCTAAAACATTGCATCAACCCCGACCCACATCATTACACATTTGTGCAAGGCCCATCCTTTCAAAATTATTTTTCTCTACTCGATTCCTTATCCCCACTTTATTCTCTGCACCATAGTCATCTTTTCCAATGTGCTCGACATGCGTCCATAGTATGAACAGATTCTTATAAATATACATTGTGTGTCTGTGTGTTGACTTACATAACAGCATTGTGGTATAGATACTGTTTTGTTTCTTACTTTTAGAAAAGTTTTTTTTTTAGAGATTTTATTTATTTATTTATTTGAGAGAGAGAATGAGAGAGAGAGCACATGAGAGGGGGGAGGGTCAGAGGGAGAAGCAGACTCCCTGCTGAGCAGGGAGCCCGATGCGGGACTCGATCCCAGGACTCTGGGATCATGACCTGAGCCGAAGGCAGTCGCTTAACCAACTGAGCCACCCAGGTGCCCCGGAAAACTTTGTTTTTAAGATCTATCTCTGTTGTTCTATATGCATCACATGCATTGTTCCTGATACCGCACAGCTGTCCATGGTGTGCATTCCCTACTTTCTCTTTATCATTCCCCACTATGGACAGTTAGGTGGCCTCAATCTCCACACAGTAAGCAACACTTGATGAAGATCCTTGTACAGTCTTTCATAGATCTGTAAGAGAATTTTTCTAAGGTATGGATCCTGGAGTAGGATTTCATGGTCATATATGCATAGCTGATTCTACTGAGGACTCTAGGATCTACTTTTGCTCTCTAGGACAGCCAGACCAGTTTGCTCTTCCACCAACAGTATACAGTTTGTCTCCTCACATTCTCATTAATATTTGATAATGTCTTTCTAATTTTTGATCATTTAATGGGAATAATGTAGTATCTTGTTGTTTCAACCATGTTGAATTTTGCAGGGAGGTGAGTATATTTTGCTTGTATGAGGATAGTTACATTAAGTAGGAGCATGGTGTCGTTTCAAAGTTTGAGACTGGGAAAGAGAGTCTGTATGGATGCTGATCTGAAGGACACGTTATAGACCCATGTGGATGCTCAGCTTAGTTTGTTCCGTCAGCCCTCCCAATGATTCTGTGAACTACACATACCATTTAATAAACCCCTTTCTGCTTAAAATAGTTAGAAGGGATTTTCTTGTTGGCAGCTAAGAGGCTGGTTTATATAGTAATTGGTACCGTAAGTGGTTGCAAACCCTCAAGGAATAAAATGGGAATCTAGGATAGGTTATTCAAATAGTTTAAGTTTGAAAGCTGAGGATCTGGTTCCCATTATAATACAGGTCACCACAGGATTTTATCTGTGGACTTTTATTTTTCCATATATGTTTTGGAATTGACTTGATGAGTCTCAAAAATGCTCTTGGATTTTTATTAAAATCCTATTGAATTTATAGAATAATTTGAGGATAATTGGCATTATTAAAATATTTTTGTCCATCAATGAACATGGTATGGTTCTCTATTTGGGCTTTCTTTTGTGTCCTATAATATTTTTTAAATTTATCCATAAAAGTTTTGTGGATCTTTGTTAGATTATTTCCATTTCTGGGTGATGTCCATTTCTCCTCTAGTCCAAAAACAATCCTGTTTGATATACAGGAAATTATGAACTACATTTTGTTAACCATTATAACTACATTATATGATGACTATAAAATAGAAAGGGAATGGCAGAGGGAAAAAATTAAAAAAATTTTTATTATGTGTAAGTATCTACTTTACAGGTTTTTTAATACTCTTGTGGATGATGCCTGGATTTCTAATGCATTTTCTAGTTGGTTATTGCTGGTGTAAAACATAGTATGGGTTAAGGATACTTGCTACACTCTCTTATTCATTCTATCAGTTTCCCGGTTGATTCAGCTTTTTTAAACATAGATTGATCTTATCATTTTCAAGTAGTGACTTTCTTTTCTTCCCTTCTAATCTTTAAACTCATTTAGTTCATTGCCCTATTTCACTGACTAGGACTGTAACGCTATGTTGAATAGGATCAATGACAGAGAAAGTCAAGTCTTGTGTCCAATCTTAAAGGGAATGCATAATAAAAGAAAGATGACGACTTTGCAATTTGGCTTCCCCATTTGCCACCACCTTTTCCAAGAACTGTCTCCCTTACTTGTAACTACTTGTTGTTGGGGTGTACCATGGGAGACAAGGAGGGAAGATGGGGAAACCCAAGCCCTGCTCAATTGTTTGCACTCCTCCCAAACCCTACTGGGCTCAAAGACCACTTTGTGTTAATCTCACTGATCTGCACTTCTCATTTTCTGCCTCAAGTTTAGACAGAGAAAGCAAGAGCTGTTCAGAGCTCTCTTTCTATGCCCATGTTACCTTCCATCTGTGGCTACTCACCCCTTCCTAGGCTCTTACTTCATCTGGAACTCACTCCAGGGACTTTTCAGTTTTTCCAATATTTTCTTAGATCCATCTATTTTCTTTCTTCCTTCTGCGGCATCTTCAGGATTGGGTTTAGAGTGGGGATCCAGAAATTCATTCAAGTAATACTTAAATTTTTGCTATTTGGGATTGTTGTCTAAAAATGAAAAGAACAGAGATGAAACTTGGTTGACCATGTAATAAGGAAGTAGCACAACCTGCACACCTACCATGAAACAGTATCTATGAAATACTACGAAAGTTGGCCTAAGACTCAGAAGGAGACTAGAGCTGGCCAGACCTTTGCATGCCTCAAACTGAAAACAGATTTCCCTAAAATCTTGAAGGTTTTAATAAAATCTAGAATCACAATCCTGAAAGGCATGTCTTGATCCTTTACTCAGAGGGAGAATAACAGGGCAGGTGGTTGCAGCTGAAGAAGAAGATGTACTCATATTCTATTTACACATGTCTAAAATCCAACTTTTAGTCTATGGGGCTAGATGTTTGAAATTGGGTAAGAGAAGGAGGGAAGGTGAATGGGCAGATCACACACAAAAAAACTGTGGCCAGAGATCTTTGCCCTTGAACACCAAAAACTAAGAGGAGTTATCTCCCAGGCAAAGGAAACAAACAGATGAGATGGCATTTAGGATAAACCTAAAACAAAGCTTTGGACTGCCCATCTTGGGCCTCCTCCTTCTTCCCCACAATAGTCTCTAATATGAAATGAGTACTTCTCCAAGATGAGCAATCATCAGAACAATACTGACACTGGACCTGTGCACAGATATTAGATCTAAGTGGAGAGGAGGAAAGGAACATAAAGAAAAGACAAATAAAAAACTTGTATCATAAAGAAGCTTTTAAAATGAAGACATAATTGAAGAAAGAGTTCAAACCTCAAAGCAGTTACAAATCACATTCCATTCCTTACAGAGACTGTTCCAACAGAGACTGTTGCTGTTGGAGTCCCTTGCTTTATGTGATTCCAGTCCTGCTCACTTTCTTGATCCACACCTACTCCAGGGGAAATACCTTCCTTGCCTAGCTCCTGGTGAGAGTCTCATTACCTCCCAGTGTCAGCCTTTCTGCTCTTTCCCAGGCTGTTCTGTTTTTCCCATGCATGAGCCAGCCACCAGACTCTTGAAAGGTCCAAATGATGCTCACATCCTATGTCCTCCATTAAATTCTCTTTTGGAAGTGGAAAAATTACCAAGTAAATATATATTGTATAAAAAATACAAATTTTGTGAAATTTGATTTTATGTAGGCAAAATATAACCATAATTGCATGTATTAAAAAACCAGAAGGATGTTTACATATCTACAGGCAAATAGGTACCGTTCCAGTAGCATTTAGTTTTCTTTTTTAAAATCTGGTAAAAAATCATAAAATTTTAACCATTTTAAGCATACAGTTCAGTGGCATTAGGCACATTCCCATTTTTGTGAATCATCATCACTATCTGTCTCCAAAACTTTTTCTTCTTTTCACACAGAATCTCTACCCATTAAACAATAACTCCTAATTTCCTCTTCCCCTCAACTCCGGATAATCACCATTCTACTTTTTGTCTCAGTGAATTTGACTACTTTAGGTCCCTCGTGTAAGTAGAAGCATTTAACATCCTTAAAATCGAATAAATCATTTTATTTGTCCATTACCTCTACTTTGCACATTCAACATTCTTGTTACTTGTTATTCTCCAAACTGATTAGAAAGAGGTTTAAGTTCTAACTGATTGAATGTAACCATGTTAACAGGGGGTTTTTCTTGGTACCAATAGGCAAGTCTCTCTAAGCTTTGAAGGTGCCAATACTAGAGAAAATTTATTCTGATGGAGAAATAAAACTGAAGGAGAAAGTTGAGAGAGCTGAGTTATACACCGAAGAAAGATCACAGAAAAGACCCAAATGACAGAATTCAGTGTCTCTTTCAGTGGGTTGTGTGGGTTTTAATTTAGTCAGTAGGTAAGTGTACCAGCTGGCTTGAGACCACAGGGCTGGACATATTGGTCCTGGACTGGAATAGAAGGCAAGGTATCTGGTTTTGGTTCATCACATGAGCTCATTCATAATTCAGAAAAAGAAAACATAGTCAGGTGTTTGTTCTGATTCTTGGTTAGGAAACTTTCAAATGCTGCAATTGTTAAGAATTAATAAGATGATATTTCTGATGTTTAAAATTGATTCACTGGCTTTTCATAATAGATAAAGACTTCACATTTAAATAGTTATTCCAGAATGGCCTTTTATAATTGACCTTTGTTTAGGTAACATTCTAAAAGGCATTACTCACTAATCATCAATCATTTAAAGACTCTCTGCGGTGTTTCAGGCATAGTGCTATGCACTGGGGTAAAAAGTACTACGTTCAAATAATTCACGACAAAATAGTGCTAGGTGGGAAGGCAGGTAGGTAAGTAGCTAGCTACATAGATAAATAGAGACAAGGGTGAAGAAAAGAGAGATAGGAAGAGAGAGAGAGACAGAGGGAATAAAAAGCGATGTGGCAAACTAAGGATCGGGTAAAGGGTAAATAAAAGTTCTTTGTACTATTCTTACAACTTCAAGTTCAAAATTACTTTTTAAAGGTGCTACAGAAAGTAAGAAGATAGACTATAAAAGTGATAACTAGTTCATTTAAAAGGTCACGTTGTAAAAGGGTCTTCCAACCTTATTTTTTTTTAAGGAATGATTCCTTATCACACTAATAGAGATTTAGAGGAAAATGTAGTTCCACAGGAATAAGCTTGCAAAATACTACGCTCCTCTCCCAGACAGTCTAGTGTACATTTTAGCATATTCAAAGATCAGAGAAGTCCCCTAGGAAATAAAGCCAACTACTTTATTCTATTTAATACAGAATATCCCAGTGTATTTGACCATAGAACTCCTTTTTTTTTTTTTAGTAACATCTACTAAAATAGAGATTTCAGAAATGCCATTGTAAGATAAGGAACATTATCTCAATTTGTGTACAAATTCAATTAGAAGAAGGAGTCTACATGTAAAGCATGGTATGCTCCTGAGTTTACACAGATACAGTTCCAATTGGTCCTCAGATACCTTTGTGTGAAGGTATAGACGTGTGGCCCTCCCTTAATTAGAAACTCTTATCCTTAATGTGGTATTTATTGAATTTCACACTGAGATAAATAGTTTTTGTTTATGCAATTTCCCAGGACTAATTGCTGAGTTTTTAGAACAGTCTTTCACTAAGCTTTAATGACTACAATTAAATGAACCACTAAGATAAAACAAATTATCAATTCAGCCACCTATTGTGAATTGGTTGATCTTGAAGTACCTGAGGAAAACATGTGAGATTGTTGGCCTTTTGCCTAAGATTGCTGGAGACAAGATTATCCAGGTAAGTTCTCCTTGTTCCCTTGAGTCTTTTCTCAAAATTCCCCAAGAGTAGAAGGTGACTTCAGAAATATAACATCTGATTTTTCTCTATATCAATAAAGAAATCCCTGTTAACATGAACTCTCACTGTATGCTTCGTTAGTAGAAAAGTTTGCAAACGAATACTTGGAGAAATTTTAAGAAATAGTTGAGAACAATTTTTCTTTTTTTAAAAAAGATTTATTTATTTATTATTTTAGGGAGAGAGAGAGAGAGAGCACCAGTGGGAGGGACAGAGGGAGAGGGAGAGGGAATCTCAAGCAGACTCCCTGCTGAGCATGGAGCCTGCCATGGGGCTTGATCTCATGACCCCAAGATCACAACCTGAGCCGAAACCAAGAGTCAGTTGCTCAAACAAGTGAGCCATCCAGGCGCCCCAGCAATTTTTCTTCATAAAAAAAATTCCCAATAAAAAACTTGAATAAGCTGTCTCATGTCTTAAGTGATAAAAACACATCTTGGAAGTGAATTCAGAGAATGCTAATTTTTATTTTTTACTTTTTAAAAGCTTTACTTTTTTTATTTTAAAGATTTTTATTTATTTATTTGTCAGAGAGAGAGAGAGTGAACACAAGCAGGGGGAGCGGCAGGCAGAGGGAGAAGCAGACTCCCCACTGAGCAAGGAACCTGATGCAGGACTCGATCCCAGGACCCTGGGATCATGACCTGAGCTGACAACAGATGCTTAAACGACTGAGCCACCCAGGCATCCCAGAGAATGCTAATTTTTAAAGTTTACAAACTAAATGTGTATTCAGTTGCTACTGATTAACTCTAGTATTCTGTTCCTTTCTATATATATATTTAGGGCAAATGCCCAATACATGAACAAAAACAGAAATACTAATCCAGTTATAAGAAATATAATGAATTATCTCCACGATAATAATGTATATTGCTAGTAATAATGTTATATTATTAATATTATAGCTAGTAATAACAATGTAATTGCTAATATTTATAAAGATATTTTCTAACTGAAGTAGGTTTTCTTCATAATTATACATGTAAAGTCATAGAACAGAATGCAGTGATTCTTTTTTTTTAAAGATTTATTTATTTATCATTTGAGAGAGAGAAAGCAGGGGAAGGGGCAGAGGGAGAGAAAGAATTTCAAGCAGACTCCCCACTGAGTGTGGAGCCCATTGAGGGGCTTGATCCCATTCCCTGACCTGAAATCAAGAGTCAGATGCTCAACCAATTGAGCCACCCAGGTGCTTCCAGAATACAATGATTCTTAAAGAGCAAGTATCGATCTAATAATGCACCAATTCTCATTTAATTAATGGACTACATTGCTAAAAAAGTAAGTGTATTAGTGTAAAACCTGGTATTACTAAGTAGATAAAAGGAAGAAAAAGGATATAATGCCAAATAGATGGAGCTTCAAAACATCAAATTATCATTTTCCAATGATATTCCTAATTCACATATTTCTTTACAGTTCTTTACAACTATGCTCAGCACACTGTGTAAACTGTCATTTAACCATGTTAATTATCTTGAATTCTTTCTTTAAACTTGTGCCTTGGGTTATGTGAAATAATGAAAAATAAGAGAAGAAAGAAAGATTAAATGAAGAGAGACAAAAGAAGAACCGAACATTCCCTGTGATGGTTTTTGTATTAAAATATAAAAGGACATAATTTTATTTCTAATGGTGGATTATTATGTGGAAAATGCTAATTATTTTTTTTCTTGGTTAGACCAAAGGTAGAGAAAATGGGTTTTAATTATTTACAA